GTATTCAAAATTTTTAAATAATAAGGTTTTGACAGAACTTAATATGACCCAACTAAGTATTATAAATATATATAAATTACGTGTCACGTTGTTTCTCCGCGATGGACTCCTAAACTACTTAATCGATTTTAATCAAATTTGCACACCGTGTGCAGTTTGGTCCAACTTGAGAGATAGGATAGTTTTTTTGCCCGTGAGTGACACACAATTTTTTTGCGAATTTAAGGATTTTTAATAGGACATGTCAACGGTCAGAAAGTTTGCCTGGCAAGCTAGTATTACATATAATTTGTAATTGGTTTCTCGGAAACACCTCATATAATAGAGATGAAATTGTGAATTCAGAGTTATATAACGTTTTTTGTTTTACAAATTTATTTAGATAAGTTTAATTCCCAGAATTTTTTTTTATCTGACGTCGAGCAAAGCTCGATCGCTCAGCTACTGTATGATTGCTTAAACAATAGTCACATAATGCCTGTTTAGATTTTTAAACGGTAAAGCTGCCTGTTGATTCTAGGATCTTGTGTCCAAGTTTCGAATTTCAACAGAAACGTACAAATTAATTATTACTATCGGATGATCAATGTGCAAATCGCCATTACCTACAACTGCGATAGAGGACTGACATGATTGTATTAAATAATAATATACTATAAAAATACCACAAAGGTATGATACTATAGATTGAACGGAAAGAGCAAAAAAATGAAAGGTTCTTAGATCACATTTCCAACTGTCAAAGTTAGCGATTGCTTGAAATAGCTTAGGAGAAGCCACATGCCTTATATCGGAGAGAGATTTGTCAATTTAAGCACATCAGAGGATATACGAATTGAAAAACATATGTTTTGAATCAATGTACTATAACGAAAGATATGTCGAAACATCTTCGGTATGTTCGCATTTGTTAAACACCACGGTTTAACTCCATTGCTGTTTTAAGGTTGCTTACATGTTTGCTCGATTTTTGGCAATACGTTCTATCAAAGTAAATCGGGTAAACATGTTGACAACGTAAAATCGACGATATTATGCACTATATATAACACAAAATTTTATTAAGCAGAAAAATTGATACACGTTTATGAAATTAAAAATTTATAAAACTACTTTCACCGATTTAATTTGTTTTACGTGGCGGGTGGAGGGGGGAGTGATATGACGATTATATGTCATAGTTAACCTTTCAGCTTCTAGTTATTAATTTAGCGGAAGCTCTATAGTATGAGAACAGAGAACTTTGCAGACTGTTGGTGTTATGTCAGCGTATTTTTGTATTTTATAGATGTTTTAGTTTGAACTATATAAGCGAGATCACATATACAATTAAGCTTGTACAGATTGTACACTCCTGCGTCTTGTAGTCAGTGACTCACTATCATGGGGGTATTAATTGTAGTACATTATTAAAACGTAAAGTTTTAGGTTATATTCAAATTCGAAAAGGTCCTAATAAAGTTGATTATATAGCAATTTTACAACCTTTTTCTGATGCTATTAAATTATTTACTGAAGAACAAGTTTTTCCAATATATTCTAATTATATTTCTTATTATTTTATTCCTATTATTAGTTTTATTTTATCTTTAATAGTATGGATATTAATTCCTTATTATTTTAATACAATTAGATTTAACTTAGGAATTTCATTTTTTTATATTGTATAAGAATAGGAGTTTATATCTACTGTTATGGTTGCAGGATGATCTTCAAACTCTAATTATTCTGTATTAGGGGGGTTACGAGCTGTTGCTCAAACAATTTCATACTTGACGGATGGTAAAAAGTAAAGTAAAAACCAGTTAAATTATATGCAATGAAATCCGTAAAAGTAGTTTTATACAATGTATAGTTAAAAAAAACTTGACTGAAATGAACACAGTACAAAATAACTTTATTATTTTACTAGAAAGCCATTGCAGTTGAACCTAGATCTGGAGTACAATTATTGCCAGTGACATTCAATCGTCTGCGTTTCCTATTACCCAATTTAGAAAATTTTGATATTGTAAATGTTATATTTTGGAAATAACTTATTTCTATTTTTGGTATCTACGTTCAATTACAGTAGGTACTGAATATGTCCTTAAATTTTTTCTGGTGGAATCGGTGTATTTTTATCGATATTATGGATAGACACATGAGACATACATACATGAGAATGCGTGTGTGTCAAAGTGCGTGGCAGCGTATCGTTTGCTAATAAATGAAATTAATTCTAATCAACAGATTCAAACTAAATAAAAAATAATGTGAGCCGTAGTTCGGGTAGCTTTGCTCTCACTGTAAATATCACAGTACGCTTACTTACTTTACAACAAATTCGAGTAAAGCTGTAGATAACCGAAATCGGGCAAATCTGTAAACACCCTTATATTTCTCGAGTACTTTTGACTTGATTGTGAAGATTGAAGCGATAGACGCGCGAGATGGTGTTGAGTTATTATTAGTTCGTTTACATTTATTTTGAAATCAGAAATGCGTACACAGTACTAAAGATGTATTCATTACGGCATTTGGTTTAGGTTACCGTTAGCGTCTCAGTCACAACCACATCAAAAGTCCAATGCTGAACATAGGCATCACCCATATTACTTCATAGGGGAGATATTTTCCATAGTTGTCACGCTTGGCAAAATGGTTGAAAACTGTAGTTTTTAATTGCTTGTATGTGTGCTCCCATTTAGCCATTCTATTGTCTATTATAGTATTCTATGCTAAAAACCAGCTATTGAACATAACAGAAGACACAAACACTGTGGTAAATGAAAAAAGTGACTTTAAATAAGAATTGTTATAATCTACATTGAATAAAAAAGTTTCTGTTTCTGTTTCAAAAAACAAAAGAAACAAAACTTATCTGATTGACTTACACGATACTAATAACAACTAAATATACTAATAACAACTACAAAAGTCAAGGACGAGATAGCAAAGTAAATCTTAATGTTATTTTTGCATAATTGAAGATTAATAGAAATAAAAGAACAAGAGAACTTTTTATGTGGTATTATAATGTCCTTTTAAAATTAGATAAATATTTGACATCAATTATAAAATCTATTATAGAGTTAAAGATAAAGTACATGTTATTTGACCTTTTTACAATTTAACAACCCTATTAAATATAAAAAGCAATCACATAACTGAATGAGATGAAAATTGAACGGACCAAATACAATAACAATTCACTGGCACATGACAAACCAAATTAGGAATCGTCTACGGTTTGAACACCGGTAAATGGAAGAACGATTGCCAATTTACCAACCCTACCTGGTCTTAATTGGTGCCGACTACTGCTTAAACTAGCGAGGGAAGGAAGCGAAAGTAATTTCTCATCGGTTAGCTAAGCAGGGGGAGGGGTGCACTCGCAGACCAAGACCAGCCGCTACGGCAGCACGTCTCACCGTTAATGACATCCCGCATAATTAGCGAGCGCTACCATCAACTAATTACATAAATTGCCTACTAAACCTGGCAATAATTACACCCTCGCTTAGATTAACGTCAACCAGATTGTGCTGCGTTGATTTAAATAGATTCTTGTCTATGTCGTGTGATGACCTCGTGACCTAGCAGACAGTATACCTGGCTACTACGTTGTAAACCGCAACTAATCATAGTTGCCTTGTGATGCTCCGCGCGTTTGACACCACATCTTAACTTCTACGATCTTATGGCAATGTTGCCGTAACATTATCCGATAACAAAACTGTAGAAAGGCTTGAAAAAAGCGGTAGAAAACTGAGATTTATTAACAAGCAAGCTTGGTCAGTAATTTAAAAAACCCTCCTCCCTTTTTTTAGTATTCGCAGATACATTATAAATATTATATAGCCTTTTTTTATAAGATTAGGGTGACAAACGAGCACACAGTCCACCTGATGGTAAGTGGTTACTACGCCCTATGGACCTAACCTACCTCTAGAATCAAAATGCAGATGCTTTGTCACCCGTGAAGATTAAGATTGCCTCGTTTCCAGTAAAAAGGGGCTCCGGTTCTCTACACTCACCATACGAAACACAACAACGTTAAGCTGCTATTTTACGCTGGTATATGTATGTGGTAGCCTATATCACTTTCACAATTACGATGAATTCATCGATACCTCATATGTTAAAATCTATCTAGCCATTTAGCAACACAAATATATTGTATGAGTATGACGTCAGTCGGTCAAGACGTTCAATACAAGCTCACATAAAGACGCTCCAACAATGATATAATGGCTACCTAGGTACCTAGCTTGTTAGTGAATTTGTCAAAAATATGTAATTCGTGCTTATAAAACGTCCTCATTATTTTGGGAATTCCTTTTAGTTTAAATATATAATTCATATTATAATTAAGAAATGCAGTTTGGCATACCACTACTATGTATTTAAGTTATGAGTTGATGAGATATGAAAAGCATTCGACAGTAAAATGCATGTATTCGTCGGGTATACATAAAAGTAAATTTAAATTTCATGTATACCCGACTATGGTGAAGCCAAAAGCAAGGTTATGCTTTTAGTTGGCTATGTGTGTATATAAGCTTGTGTGTATTTTCTTAAAAATAAGTAAAATCAGTTAAATAAACGCGATAGAATCCGTAAATTTAGTTTTATGCAATGTGTAGTGTTCGCGTAAATTAAAGAAATCATTATATGAGCCATTATTGTTAGCGTTGGCTTGTTCGTGTATTATAGGACTACATATAGCAAGCGTCGCTATATTGTAATAACTAAAGTAAATGAAGTAACTTTCAGTTAATCTAACGTTTACAAAATATAAATCAAACACAACAGGTTATAAAGTTATATCAGAGTTAGTAAAGTTCCTTTTGGATCTAATATTTTTAGTGATTATTTATAAAAACAATATGAAAAGATAAGATAACGACGCTTTCCGCAACGCCCCGTCTAAACGCGTATTTTGCGTGTGGGCAGGAATAATGCAATTATTCAAGCCATCATATATCGTTTCCTTAATCTGGTTTAACTTTTAACAGATCAACCCACAATCAGTCAATCCTCGGGTAACGTAGTCGACGGCATCAACTTAGAAGACATCAAGGAGTTTGCAAAGGCCTTCAAACTAAGGCGGCTCGGTTTAGGCCTCACCCAGACACAAGTGGGCCAGGCTCTGTCTGTCACTGAAGGTCCAGCGTATAGCCAAAGCGCTATTTGCAGGTAAGATTATTAAATCATTGTAATTGTAATAATGAAAAGACAAAATAATATGCATATCTGTTAAATGATCTTGTGAGATAAGGTCGCACGCTTGTCTGTATAACTTCACATACCTAGTAAGAAACAAACATTTATCTCTTTAATTTAACTCATAAGATTTTATAATCTGTATTATCTGTAAACAAAGTGAAAGCAACACGTTAACAATTTAATCAACACATTATAACATCACAGTAATAAAACGAGGGCAAATAGAGTCAGGCGTTTGTCAAAAAAATTCGCGCCGTTCCCTTTGGGCTAGCAAAACATTTTTACATAGCGATATTAGTGACGACGTTCGTCACGCAGTCGCAAGAACAGTTACAACACCAACTTTTTAATATTGTTAATTGAAGTGATTTGTAAAACAGCACGACTCCTTTCATTGCTTACAATTCGTTTAATTAATTACAATTCGGACGGCTTCCGTTCCGGTCGGTCGGTCTCGGGGCTTAAACCATTTTTTATTAGGCGCGGGCGCGTGCGTTCTAATTCGGTATTATTTATAATTTTTCCATCATGCCCATTTCTATCTATCGCTGAATAAATTTACATGTATTTGGTTATTAATAAACTCAATTATAGCTTGAAACTCTAAAATCATTTGTTATTTAAGAAATGCCATCTTTTTATTTCTAATGATTGTACAAATAGCAACGAACCAGATACTTAATTTGAACATCGCTAATTTACTTTCAGTATTATTCAACGTTACTCGCTTGTTGGTATTTACATTTATATTAACTTGTAAATTTGTTTCTTTGTAATTAAAATGTCAATTAAACTAAGCCATATAAAAATGGAGTCTGCGTTTAAAATATTAAGTTAGGAGAGTTAACATGGCCAATAAAATTTTATTTTGATTTGAAGCCTCGACAATGTACAATTTAGCAGTAAAAGAGTTTAATTAAATGTAATGAAAATGATTCGGAACGACTTTTTTTACCATCACAACGTTAAAATAGGCACCGGGTCAAACCGGTCGAAGGAAATTTCAATCGGGCCACCCCACCGGCCTCCTTCGTATAATAAAATCATTAATCGTTACTTCTGTTCCAGTTAATTAATTATCTTGCCGTAATTACTTTTTTCGTGTAATTAAAAGAGTAGAATTCCCCTGTCTTTGTCCGCGTCGTGATTTCATTTTCCATTAATTTTTCTTTCGACTCCCTACAATTTTGTATCGTAACGAAGGTACACGATGCCTACCCCTTTGATTACGTTGGTATTAACTTGAATTTAAATAGAAATTTATTATTTATTGCAGACACGCATGAGTTTACATTCATATTTAGAAGTTAACTTCAAAATAGTTTGATACACTTGAAAAAGAAAGTTGACGCGAGTAAACTTTTTGATCGTCTAGAAAATTGTGGTTGACCCTTTCGTTATCTCAAGGATAGCAGGAAACCCAAATGCTAAACGCTTTAAACTGCATTATTAATTTTATCTTGTCCTTTTAAATCTAAATAATGTGATGAACCCTTATTTTTGGTAATTTGTTACGAAATTAACGAATTTTATTGTCAATTTAACGGATTGTACTTACTCTATTGTTTTCAATCTTACTCAAGAGTAAAAGTAAAAAAAAAACGACGCGCTTAAAATTTTCGGATGTAAAATGATCGATGCTTCCATGGTCATTGCCACCAGCGAGACCGAGCACAAATGTTGAATTAAGCATGGACCAGTCCGCGTACCGCGCCATTACAATTTTATATGAGACCGAGTGCGTCACCGCATCTCAAGACAATGGCTGGAAATAGATGTTCATATGCTAATGTTTGTCTGTCAACCTTAGGTATCAACATACTTACGAAACTAATCCAAAAAAAATTTATATACATTCTACAGAACATAATATATAAATAGAAATGCAATCCGACTTTAGCCGAGAACTTAATTGTTGTACCCAACCCTCTCCTCTAAACTCTCGTCACGTATTCCTCAAAAATTGAAAACAAGAGTGTACAACTAGTGCGTGTTGCCAGTGATGATATGTGGATCTAAGCTGGGTTCTTCACTACTGACCGTATGAGGAAGCTCAAAGTCAGTAGTGTCAAGGTCGACTTTTCTCCGCATGCCGAAATTCGTAATGTATCCTCATTACGAATTTCCACTTACGGACTAGTGACCTACAATGTCGAATAAATCAGTAAACTGAGCTTGCTGTGCGCCGGCCGTTTAGCTCGGAGAACTGACAAACGATGAGGACGAAAGGCTCTTGAGTGACAAACTCGTACCGGTAAACGACCGAAGTTCACCACCAGATGGAGTATCAACTGTACAGGAAGTTGATGGATGCATATAGTACAACAACGTGTTCTGTGACGTTGCTTGGGGGTTGGGAAGGCTTTTGCAATAGACTTGTGAAGGATTGTAATGATGATGATGATAAGCCAGTATTGCCCCGCGTGATAGCGAAGTAAGTGAATCAATCAATACTTCTCGTTTTGTGGGTGTCGTAAACGGCAACTAAACGATAAATATTACATCTAGTAATTTTACGACATATAAAATACACTAAACCTTGACGGCTAGCAGCGCTAAATGTGCGAAACGTCTGACTCCGGTCGACGATATATGAAAGAAGAGGATGTCCAGCTGTGGACTATTTTTACAATAAAGAGAAGGAGGACTCACTTTTAATGTTACAGCATCATTAATTTATAAGCAGTCGCCAAAATCCACAACTTTACAGGCAAATTGGTAAACATTGTAGCAAATGTTTCCGACCTCTCACTCTGCCCTTCATCACTAAACCGTATTTTATTAATGACAGAATAAATACTAGTACTTATTTCCAATTCCAAATTATTAGAGGGCGACCATTAATTACGTGAGCTCAAAGTCTCACCAAATCTCATTTAAAAAAAAGGTTAATGAAAATCTCATCTCAACTTGTTAATTCTGAGATTATACATTATTAGAAGTTATAACATGAATATATCATGATTTCTTAAATTTACGCGAACACTACACGTTGAATAAAACTATTATTTACGGATTTTATCGCGTTTAATTACTTTAATTTATTTTTACTATCCCGACGTTTCGGAGAGTCCCCTCTCCACCCCCCGGGACCATGGGTGCTGTAAAGCACCCGAAACGTCGGGATAGTAAAAATAAATTAAAGTTATTAAACGCGATAAAATCCGTAAATAATAGTTTTATTCAATGAATATATCAAATAAATTTATTTATTTAAAAATTATATAGTATTACATGAGGCACCAACCCCTCATACCATCTTTCTAAATCTCACCAAGAAGAGTTGGAAAATAATTTAAAAAACAACCTCACGTTATTTATGGACACCAATTTATTATACCTATCCAGACTATATATTTAAGTCTTTTTTTTTTCTTTCTTCCGTTTGCAATATTAATTAATTTAATAACGTTCTGAATATTAAGAGAACAAAATTTGTATTCTTATGAAGCGTGCGGCTTTGTCTATTTTTTTTACTGAAGCTTGACAGTCCTCCAGACACAAGAGGACGTCCACTGTTCACTGGATCATACAAGTCTAATTATATAATTTGTTACCGTCCCCAGTGCCCTGGCTTCGCAGATGCTAGCAGCTCAGCTGTCTTCACAGCAACAAAACATGTATGTGTTTTGTTTTATTTACGTACACGCAGTATCTTCAAAATTATCTTCATTAAATTCACTTTATGAAATATTTGTTTCGATTGACATTTAAAACGTACGTATAGTTAAAATATGCCAAGAATGAAGATATCTTTGGAGATACTCGATTGCAACATGCATTAAGCACACGCTTTGAGTCACATTCGGCGGCCCAGATCACATTTATGTACGTTGTCTTTAAATCAAAATGTTTCAACGCTGTTTAATGCAATCTTATCTCGATCGCCGATCCGTGCATACCAAGGGAATGTATGCCGCATTTAATTACGAGTAATTATAGTTTTTGGCGTTCTTTCTTTCGCTTTTCACACGTATACGGTATTTACATATGGGTAATTACACTAAGGCGATGCATGAGTTCGATCGTTACATTTTGATGTTAAGACAAACGTGTTACATTAACGCACCGGCTAACACACCATGTCGGTACGACGTCATGAGTAATCGTTGTGTGAATTTTATCTGATTTGTTATTGTTATGTCTCTAGTCAACTTCTAACTTTCCATCTAATCTAGCATGATGTATTATTTCATTACTTTTTATTATTATTTTTTATTATTCGTTTTGCGCAATTCAAAGCCAGGGCATTGGCATACGTTACGTTTCGCCTCTAACTGAATTCATTTTACTGTTGCCGCGTTCAGTATTAACCAAAGTGATTACTCCGCTGGTCTAAATTGCCTATTGTTTTTTTCTTCATTTCCATTATCGTTAACGCCATGTCAATGTCCTGTGTTACGCCTCCGTTAATTCGTATGAGGATGAGAGATCGCAAACCGCCCCATGTAACTGTACGGGTGTCCGGTCCGCGCTCGTGGCTAGCTTTCAACCAATCGGCTCGTGCAAAGTAAAATTCTAACATTACATTTATGTTCGATACAGATTTGAGAAATTGGATATAACACCAAAAAGTGCGCAGAAAATCAAACCGGTGCTTGAACGTTGGATGAAGGAAGCCGAAGAGAGGTAAATATCAATGTTTGAGTGAACTTGTGCGTGGTACTGTCCCGTGTCCGTGTCACATATTTGGCCCTTGTTGCTTAGCGACGATGTAAACATTTCTCAAATCTGGACTAACTACGCTTCTGTCGGCTAGGTTTTTTTTTCACGTGCTCTAGTGCTATATACACTTTACTAACTAATTAGTTTTGAACGATATTTGCAGTCCGTAGTATTTGTGTATATTTTTAAATATATTTTTGTTACTATGTTACGACACTGATGCTTCAAGCTTTTAATTAAATACTATGTTATTTAGATATAAGGCATGACGTATGGAATTGTATGGAAGTAAACGACAATTATTGCATGAAAATGACTATATCTTATATATTTACTAACAAGGAATTTTTATCATTGATAAAAGTAAACTAATATTTTAATGTTACAATCATTTTAATTAAGAATACCTATGATTTTAAAAAGAATTGATAGAATCAGGCGTCACTTTGCGAAAATCCATTTTAATAAAGATATTAATAGTTACTTTACAATCATCCGCTCAATTAAATGATGTCTTAGCTGGAATGAGGAGTACCTCCCGCCCTCCCTCAATTGCGTACACGAATCCCATCACTACTAATCCCAGCGTTTAAACCGTTATCGTCTATGGTGTGTATTTCCTGGAATAGTGGTGTTGGGAGTAGTGGTGCCGGGAGTAGTGATGCTGGGAGTAGTGGTGCTGGGATTAGTGGTGACGGGATTAGTGCACGAAATTGAGGGAGGGCGGGAGGTGCTCTTCAATCTAGGTAAGACACATCATTGTATTTAATTAAGCGGATGATTGCAAATTAACTATTAATATCTTTATTTAAAAAGAAAATTAATAATATAGAATATATTAGTAAAGCTTTATAAACAGTTCAATCATCGTCATATCTGTGGACTTATTGCCATACTAATTAAGTATTTGAAACAAAATATAACATTAATAGGTAGGTATTAATGGTTACACGTTTAGCGTGTAGTGACGGTGTAAAAATATCTATCACCCCATATCATTCCGCGGGCGACAAAAATAGGGAAATTGAAACAGGAGAAGAGCAGCACCTTCTTGATAGCGATTGAAATTAACAAAAAACTGAAGTTGCTAACCCGCCTGCGTGTTAACTATAGCAGAATACAATAAATAAATCAGAGGCAATCTATAGGGGAAGTTTTGCACTTCGCTAATGGCTGCGTTTGGCAGAAAAAAGCGCTAGGAAGCGCTTGGCGAAGCAAAATCGCGATCGTAAGCGGTAAGCTCTGTCAAATGGTAAATAGCTATTTTCCTCTAGGACACTAAGTTAGCTTTAACCGGGGAACCTAACCTAATTTAAATATATGTTTGTAAAGTATTCATATTGAAAACTTACCAATCATGAATTTTTAATAACATGTATAATATGTTTATTCATGTCATTATATTACTTGAAACTAATTGCACAAAACAACTTATAAACTCTACTTCAAAACAAACAAAATAAATAAGCAAAATGGCGGATTGTGTCAGCGCTACTGAAGTTAGCAAACGTGTCCTGGCCGAAAACTGTATAGTTTCGCCATTTTGCTTACAAGCGCTTCCTAGCGCTTTTTTCTGCCAAACGCAGCCATTGTTACACTAATACATCAAAGTGTAAAGTGCAACTTCAAATTTCAACAATTTTGACTCCAAAAACCACGTCATCTAATAACTTTATGATAGCATATCTAAGCCATATTATCAGTCACATGCAAATCGAACGATCGCTATGATAGCCATGTTTGTGTTTTAATGCAAACGCAATCTATGCAACTACCGTTCTTCATTATTGTTGCTGTGGTTTGAGAATAGTTGCTAATTTCCATGCAATGTAATATCGGTTGGTTAACTCGCATTTAAACGAATGCATAAATAGAAAAACGCAGACATGGCTATGTCCAGTATGGTAAATGCTTTGATTATAAAGGACGTACGATTTCACTTTTACCTGGAAACGAGTCCATCATTTTTTATAGAATGGGGTGGAAAACGAGCACACAGTCATAGTAAAAAAATTTGATACAATCCACCCAATGGTAAGAGGATGCTGTGGCCCACAGAAATCTACATATAACTTCGATTAAGAATCATAATGCAGATGTGTTGTCACTCCCGAGCACTATGATGGAACACCTCGTTTTCAGTAAAAAGGGTCCCTGGTTCTCTAACCTCACCATACGAAACACAACAGCATTAAGCTGCTATTTTACTCTGGTATTTTGTGAGAGCGTGATCCTACCTCGGTGGAGTTGCCCCATTCATGCGTACGTAATCATGACTGGGTGCTCGTTTGTCACCCCCATTCTATAAAAAAATAACCTATACACGTCCCATGATTGCACACATTTTGAAATGTTTTGAAATAAAAAGCACGGTTAGTCCACAGCGCTGCTCCCATATCCTTCAAATAAGTACAAATTTCATTACTCAGACATGCGGGTGCCGGAATCGAATATAAGTTCCTGATGTATTATGATGTTTATGGGAAGAGTTTAAACCCTGAGCTACCGCGGCTATATATTGCAAGATTTAAATTTCTTTCCTATAAAGTTTTCTATTCCAGTCACTATAAATACAAGTTATTGAGTATATATTGTTGTATATATTTATAAGAAAAACATCTTAAATAAAAACGATCAGAACGCAAGGAATACAGACGGCCGTTAACCCAACATCGCATTTCAAATATCCCAGGTGTCGCTTAAATCTCCGACGGTCTCTTAATATTATGTGGCTCGCTATGATCTATCGATTTAACATTTTGCATCATTAAAATGCATTATCTGGATGCAACGGAACGGTCTTTAACATTGCAAATGGTGCGTTGAATTTGCAATGCCCAGTCCCTCTTGGTGGTAATTTTTAACGACCGTCTCTGTTAATAGTCCTTGAATTAATACCGATAGCTGGTGCCTACTCTCATCTTTATAAACGAGATAACTAGGTACTAGCAAATCAGCTTTTTTAATTCCGTTTAGAGGTTTTAATTCGTCGAGTAGTGTTGACTAAAATGCTATTATATCGTATTTTTATTTGATGCGGAATGAATTAAAATTTTATTCGATAAAATTTTTGTTGGGCAGAATTTTAACTAAATAATTTAATTTTAAAGAATAATTACGTCGGAATAGTGTCTATGGCGTTTGTTCATTTATTCGTACCATTTTAGTGTTGTTACATAGGTAAATATTCTTTATTGCATTCCTTATTAGAAAAGAGTAGCAAGGAGTTCCAAAGGCGTGTAGCCTAAACTGTAAAGGAGTTACCATAGAACTAGATGAAGTGAATAGGAATACATATTTTCTTGTAAGAAGGAGAACGTTGAACCCCATTATGAGATGAGGAGATATAGTGAAATTTACTCTTAAGATAAGAAGACTAAAATGGGTTATCATTTGATAAGGAAAATAGAACAAGTAATATTCTGGAATTGCGCCTTTGCCGGATTGTATCACTTATATTAAGCATTTGGGTAGCTCAGCGGAGACTACATTGCCTAAAAATCCTTGCAGAAATTAGATGAGTCATGTGCTCAGATGTAAGCTATAATTACGCACGCAAGCGCAGAGTTCAGGAACAGTAGCTGACAAATAAAATAATTAAATTTCGCGTTATTTTCCTTCTGCTACTGTAAGTGAACCTTGCGTTTATGTGCGTGTCGGGAATTTTTGAATGATTTAAAAAAAAGCTTGAGGAATTCAACTCATTTGTTAGATTATAAATTACAACAATTAAGGAAAATGAGGTATAGGTCGCGCGGATAGGTGTCGAGTATCGACTATTTGTGTTCATGTACGATGATGGGAGCCTCTAATGTTTCACAAATAATGGCTTGAAATATGTGTCAGCATTTTAAGTTCTAGATCACTTAAGTGGTATTTAATAATAAGCAATGTATTTGGGGGTCGTCTACAATATTGTATACTAGGTAAGGGCTTAACAGTACGTTGCCAGACGCTTGTATGAATTTTTCGCAGTCTCGTTCACTTTGCCATAACTTTATTAACTTGGCTATTATATATGCTATCCGAGCAGTAGAAACTAGGGAAAACAAAATTGTGTTCGATCCCCGATGGCAACAATTAAATTGTCGATTGCAGTTTTGAGTGCTAATTTATACCGCCATCTATCGATAACCATAAGATATTTCTTACGTTTCCCATACTCGCCTCCAACAGCCTCCTACAGGACAAAATGGGATGGTGTATATTTTTTTATAGAATAATAGTGACAAACAAGCATACAGTCCAACTGATGGGAAGTGGATGCTGTGGCCCACACACATCCACATTTATCTTCGATTAAGAATTAAAACGCAGAAGCGTTGTCACCCTTGAGGACCAAGTTGAAATGCCTTGTTTCCAGTAAAAAAGAGTCCCCGGATCTCTACACTCACCATACGAAACACAGCAGTATTAAGCTGCTATTTTACGCTGGTATTCTGTGAGAGCGTGGTTCTTCCGCGGTCGAGACGACCCATTCGTGCTGCAACCAGAATATAGCTGCAGCGTAGCTCTACCACGTATAAAATATTCTCATGCCACTACCCAACACGGCACGGTTTTTCATTTGAGGTAATTCAAAAGTCCGTTTTTTGATAGAATGTGTAGTTACATTTTTTTTATAGGATAGGGTGACAAACGAGCACACAGTCCACCTGATGGTAAGTGGTTGCTGTGGCCCATAGACATCTACATCTATCCTCGATTACGAATCAAAATGCAGATGCGTTGTCACCCGTGAGGACTAAGATGGAATGCCTCGTTTCCAGTAAAAAGGGTCTCCGGTTCTCTACACTCACCATACGAAATACAGCAGCATTAAGCTACTATTTCACGCTGGTATTCTGTGAGAGCGTGGTCCTTCCCCGGTCGAGCCGACCCATTCGTGCTACAACTATACTACTAATATAACTGCAGCATGGCTCTACCACGTATAAACCATTCTTAACTTTCTTGACGTATGG